ACTATCTTTTAAGACTTAACAAACATTTTTTGACATACAACTGCGTTGATCCCGTGCTCCAATCTGTTTAAAATTTTGGACCTTGAAAATACTTTTTGACATACTAAAAATTTTAATTCGCATTTGTTAATAATTTTTATGTTTTTATGGGACTGGAACGACTGTTTTAGATTATTATACTATGTCTATCAAAGGAAACATATTTATTTTTATCGAATTGTAGGAAAACAAAATGCGAAATATTGTAATATGATTCTACTGTGTGTAAAGCGGTGAAATGATAAGAAAGAAAATATAGTATTTTAACATTGCATTTACGAATATAAGTGACAAATCATTAAAATCAGTAAATTTTTCAAAATTTATTAATTTAATTTTTTTAAAGTCCTTAAAGGGATAGTCTCTAATTATTATTTTGAAAAACCGTATATGGTAACCCTTTTCCGCTAAAACCTCGCAGTTACTAAAAATAAAATGAAAAAAATAAATACTTAACTGCAGTTAACTTAAAAACTAGTTCGTAAGATAATCGTAATCATTCCGATAGTAGTTTCCAAAATTTAGTTGACAAAAATGTAGTCTTTCTCATGATTTAGTAACTTTATGTTGAATCTAGAATTGTGTACAGTTTCCTATTAAATTATACTTCGCAGTGTTTCACAAAAGTATTCGGACACTAAGAATTCGCAGAAAAAGGCGCTGTAACCTGGAATTGAATTGGAATATAAAGCCCAATATTTTTCATATCATCTCCATGTGATTTTTAATAATACTAAACATTTTAGTTTTTAATATTTGCTTATTTTCCTTTTCTAAAATTGAAAAGGTAAAGAGGCATAGATAAAACACGCCACAAAAGTGATCGTACACGGAAACATTTTCGTAAAATTTCACAAGTAAAATTAATCGTGTACCACTTTATAAGGAAGTACTGTAATCGCGAAAAGCTTCAGGCAGCATATTTCAACGAAAATATCCACTTTGACCGCTTTCGAATGCAATTTAACGATGTTTTTGCGTGATATCTGTACGTAAGGACAGAATAAAAGACTCTTTTCTTCCAAAAAAACTAAAAAACTGCTTTAAAATGAATTCTGAAGAGAACTTTTCGTGGCGTATTTACGTACGTGCGTACGTATCTCGCATAACTCAAAAACGAGTAGCCTCAGAACGTTGAAATTTTGTATATAAGACTACTATAACATGTAGATGTGCACCTCGTATTTTGGTTTCAATCGGCCGCGCCAAACGTATATAAATATATTTATAAATATATCCACTCTGTTACCCGGCTCATTAATCTCAGTTTCTTTACTCTTATATGTTTGTAAATTGTACATTTTTTGCTTTAAAAATGAGTGAATTATGTTTGTTTTATCTTCCGGTTAAGGGTTTTATGCCTTTAGTAAATCTGTATACAATATTTTTAGAATTATCAACAATTTTAAAATTGTTTAAGTGCCGCTAAGCCTAATTTGATGGCGGCCATTGCTCTTGTTTACATTTGAAACAGCTGAGTAGCGGATTTGTTGCCAATCTAGAGAAACTTAGCTTCGCAACAACAAAGATAACGCCTTCATTTATTATTTAAATCATGCTTTTTCGAGGAAATAAGCGCTTAAGATTTACTTCGTAATTTTTAATACGGATATTTTGAGTTTTTATGTATTTTTGCCTTGTCCCGAAGTGAAAACTGGATTAATTGAATGAGAACTACTCAATCGTCTGTGAAAAACTGTTTCTTTTTTGTCTTGTTTGCTTAATTTCTTTAATACATAGTTCTAGCTTTATTATAGTATTTGAATAGAACATGTCGTAACGATTCGATAATTCTTTAAATGATATAAATTTTGTGCATTCTGAGTTATAATATGAACGAAATATAATACTGTTAAGTAAACCTAGCGCCAGAGTGTCGCTATGGTAAACAAAGTGAATTTTAAAGAATGCATTTATTCTATTGTGGTTTATGCGCTGTCGTCGGTGTAGGTTTAATTCAATCTAATAAGTTTAAATAAAATGCAAGAAAAAATGCGTATAATTTAATATTCCGTACAGGGAAGTCATGTGGTGTACACATCAGATTTTTTATTTTTGCATTTTGGAGGCATCATTAGTTGTTTGGCTTTATTTTTTGATTGCTTACTTCGTTGTATTTCATTTAGTGTTTAAAAAATGTCTTGTAGTCGTAAGGAAGCAACGAACAGCTTTTGAAAATTGATTATTTTTTATCATAAGGATGGTAATTCGATTCGGGATATCACTACATTAGTAAATTTATGCCATTCTACGGTGCAGTATGTGATAAAATGCTCCAAAGAAGAAAATCAGATCCACAATAAAGTAAGAAGGGGTAGTCCGGCAAAGAGGATTCGACGTGACGCAACGTGACCAGAGTTACAAAATCTGTGAAAAATCCACGTTTGAGTGTTGTAAAGATTTCTACAGAATTTACTGAAGAATTTTCTACTTCACTTTCACTTAAAATTATTCGATAAGTGCTCAGATTAGCTGGTTTGCATGGGAGCTTTGCTCGAAGAAAATTTTTTGGAAGTGCCAAAATAGAAAGTTTAGGCTTTTCTTCTCAAAATCAGTGGTAAATAAAACCTAAGCGCTGTGGAATCACGCCTTATTTGCAGATGAAAGCATATTTAACATTTTGGGTTCCGATGGGCGTATGGAGAAAGAAAAATGAGGAGCTTAATCCCAAAATCTTGGTTGGAACAGTAAAGCATGGTGGTAGAGACGTTCTAGTGTGAGGGTGCATGTTAGCATCAGAATTTAATAATTTAGTATTTATTGATGGCACGAGGAATCATGCTCTTTATTTAAATATTTAAAAGATAATTTAAAAGATTTTAAAAGATAATTCAAAATTTGGATACTGGAAACAACTTCATATTTTTTTATCAGGGTAAGGATTCTCTGTACATGGCCCTCAACGTTCGCCTTTTGGGTGTCTATAATTGTGCACATGTTCTGAAAACACCACCCCAGGAACTAGATTTAAACCCAACGAAACACATTTGGAGAGAATTAGAGATTAAAATACGAAGACACAACATTAAAACAAAAACTGAACTAAAAACAGTAATGATTGAAGAATGGAAGAACATTGATGCATATATTACAAAAAAAAAAAAAAAAAAAAAAAAAAAAGAAGTGGTTAACTCTATGCCCAGAAGTTTGAAAGCGGTCATAAATACTGCAGGATATACTACAAAATACTAACTGACAGAAATACTACAATATTTACTAATATATGCAAATTTCTTCAAGCCGTACGAAGAGTTTTGAAGTAACTTTGCAGAGATGTTAGATATTTTTTGAAAGCAGGAGAGATGAAAAATGAGCACTGCCTTGGCCGGGAATCGAACCATGGACCTCTCGAATTCGTGTCGAGCGTGCTGACCACTACACTACGAACGCATGCTAAGAAGGATGAAGAAATAATACCTTATATACTCCCCCTTTTAAAGGGCGATTGCGGATTAGGGGACCCAATCGCCAAACCCTGGTGGTGAAGAATTAGCATTCAGCGCATTTTTTTTTTAGTTCGAGCGCCACTGGAGAGCCATTAGGTATTTTTAAAACAGGAGAGATGAGAAATGAGCAACACCTTTCCCGGGACTTGATCCACGGGCCTCTCGAATAAGCGCCGAGCATGCTGACCCCCCCCCCCCCCACAGACACACACATCACGAAGGCATGCTAAGAAGGCGCAAGAAATAACTTTTCTGTTACTTTTTTATTATTGACTTTCCAAAAAGAAATTTTAATATGTTCGTAAAATAACTAATGTAGTTCTGCTAAAAGAAATTTATAGAGATATTAAAAATTTTTAATTTTAAAATATTATTTTTTATTGATGAATAAAGCAATATTTCACTGAAATTCGTTTAAGCGTACGAACATTTGTATGAGCCACTGTAAATTTATTTTTCATGTTTGGAATCTATGAAACGTATTCTGTGAAACTATTTTATTTTCACAACAAAAAACAAATATACGTTCAATAAAAGAGAAGCATCTAAAATAGCGCGACCGCATAATTTTATGATGATTTATGTTTAAATAATTTTTGTACTTTTTTATCATTTCTTTATTTTATGATTTATTTCTTCTTCTGTAACTTATTTGGCTATTTTTCATTTAGAAGCTTGAGTTAGTACCATTTTAAAAAACTATTATAAAAAAAAGGAATCCCCTTTATTTTTTCTCTTGAAGTGTATTACAGCTTTTTAAAGAAATGATTTGCAGCAAACTTAATATATAATGCAATATGAGCCAAATATGTTTTATTTTATATTTTACCCAAAGATACAGTATTTAATATAAATACATAAGTAAAAAAATAACGTGAGTAATACATACATATATTAATAAATTATATGAAAATAATCGAGAAATATTACATTAAAATAAATATTACATTAATCTCTCGTAGGTGTCTCTCATATAATATTATTCATAGGTGTCTCCAAAATGTTTATATTTTTACTATTTCTTAGAAAATAATTTTATTTCAATTTTTATATTATTGTAGATCTGCAGTTCGGCATTAATATTTTCCGGTATTATTAATATTTTCCGGTATATTATTCTGTTTATTTTATCCCCACTATAAGTTATTCATTGAAGGGAAACATCGTTCAAAATACTCATTGGAAGTTGGAATGGTAAATATAAATTCAAATATCATCTGAATGCTTGAAAATTTCCCTTTTTACTTCCTTATACGAAATAAAGGAAGTACTGTAATCACGAAAAATGTCGTGATTACAGTATCGTGATTACAGTGTCGTGTATCATATTTCAACGAAAATAACTATTTCGCCCGCTATCATATGCAATTTAAGAATGTTTTTTTGCATGTCATGTGTATGTAAAGAGAGAATAAAGGGCGCTTTATCCAAAATCAGATTATGAAATGGATTCAGAAGAGACTTTTTTGTAAAGTCTGTAGGTACGTACGTATGTTTCGCGCATAACTCAAAAACGAGTAGCTCAGCGAGGATATGTTTTCCTTTATTTCACTAATTAAAATCATGACTAAGATACAGTCATGATTTTATCGAATTAAACTAATTTAGAAGTGAAAATTGAAGTACTAATTTTCTAGGTAAGTGAAAGTGAAAGTGAGACCAGCAGCATTCACAGCAGTGTGGTCTTAAAAATGGATTAAGTTAATCTTTAGAGACTTTACGAATTTGTTACATGAAAAAATTAAAATATCATCTCACCAGTTTCGCTGGCAGTAAGTTACAAAAACTTTATTACTATTATTCTTTATTTTATTTTTAATTTCATTGACCTAATTCCTTTCTCTCACAATCTAACTGCTTTAGATCAGTGATAACCCAAGATAGTCTAGTTTTAAAGGTACTTACTCGAAAATAGAATTAATCAATTGTAAAATTGTTATGTTCTCAGAATTAACATTATTTAGTTCTAATTAATTAATTTCTTTTGTTTAAAAATTAAACACTTATTATTCTTTCTTTTTTTTTAAAGATCTTAACAAAACATTTTTGACATACAACTACCTTGATCCTGTGCTCCAATATGTTTAAAATTTTAAACCTTAAAATACTTTTTGATATATAGAAATTTTCCTTTTCAGTGGATAATAATTTTTATGTTTTAATGGGACTGATGCTACAGTTTTAGATTATTAGACTATCTCTATCAAGGAAAAATATTTATTTCTGTCAAAATGTAGAAAAATACAAAGCGAAATGTTGTGGTATGATTCCACTGTGGGTAGAGAAAATATATTATTTTAACATTGCATTTCCAAATATAAATAAATAATGATTAAAATCAGTAAATACTTCAGTTATGTTATTAAAGGGATAGCTCGTTATTATTTTGCAAAACCATATATAACTCATCCTATTACGGTAAAATCTCAGAGTTACTGAAACTAAAATGAATAATATACATATTTAACTGCAGTTAACTAAAAGCTTAGTTCGTTAGAAAATCGTAATCATTCCGGCAGTATTTTTCAAAATTAGTTAATAAAATGCAGTCTTTCTCATGATTTAGTAACGTTACTTTAAATATGAAATTATGTTCAGTTTCGTATTAAACTTTATTTCGAAATATATTTATCTTTTATGACTGGAATATATGAAACGTATTTTGTGAAATTTATTTTCACAAACAAAAATAAATAGGAGTTCTATAAAAGAAAATAAAGTTAAAAAATAAATAAATAAAAGTAAAATATTTCTGTTAGCTTGATTCGCTTCTATAAAGTATGGAATAAAATAATTATATGACTTCTTGAACACAATGCTCCAAAACTGCAGCTGCGTTTAAGGTTTTCATAAACAAATATAAAGATATTAAAACAGCAACTGCAGTTTTGGAGTATTGTGTTCAAGAAATCATATAATTATTTTATTTCATACTTTTTAAGTGTGTGTTGTGTGGTGATTATGGCAAAGCCTCGAGGGCTATCTGCCTAAGGGGAGGAATGCCTTCGTGGAGGACTTTCTAAGGAAAACTGGCTCGTATACACGTTACACATGGGGAAAACCACGAAGGCGCCCATGCAGCCAGCCCGTTCTCGGGATTCGAACCTCGGACCGAACTACCAGTGTTCAGCGACTTTACCGCTCGGCCGCTGGTGGCCCTTCTTTTTAAGTGTGAATCAAGCTAATGGAAATAGTCTTTAGACTATAAATTTTTTTGTATATATTTTAAAGTAATTTTCGTTTTGAAATTTATTAAGCATCAGGATGTTTATTAAGCAACTGTAATTTCACTGTTTTAATTCAATTTTGCGTAGTCGATTATTTTATGAAATTCTCAATGTTTTGTTCATATTTAACATCTGATTACAATAATTATAATCGTAATCGATTATTTTTGGAAATTATTAATGTTTTGCTCGTGTTAACCGTTTGGTTCAGTAAGCAGTTTCCAGGGCGGCCGTTACGCTTTATCAGCTGGTAGCGTACGCCATCTATTAATGAGAACGCTACACGAATTTTTTTGCGTGTAGAACCTTTTGCACAAGCTAATTTGTACCTTTAAAATAGCCTTTAAATAAAAAATATAGTTTTAGAGTATGTTTAAATAATTTTTTTTTTCTCTTTATGCTTTTCGTTACTTACTCGATTATTTTTCATTTTAGAGTTTCAGTTATGACCAATTTAAAAATTAAAGTGTTATAAAATTATGTGTTATAAATTATGTTATAAAATGAATCCCATTCATTTTTTAGCTTGAAGTTTATTACAGCTGTATAAAGAAATGATTTGTAACATATACATAATGTTGTATACATAATGCAATAAGAGAAAAATGTATTTTATTATATATTTCACCCGTACGATTTAAATACAAGATTTCAAGGAATGGCTTTGTCCCATTTTTCATAATTTTTAAGTCATTAAGGTGATTATTTATTCCAATATTCTTGATTTAACTTTGATCTGCTTATTGTTTTGGTGTTCTCATGCGACGTCTCTATGTTCAGATACTTATTACTGTTTTAATATGTGATTCTTGACATGTGGTTTTTAATAAAAAAACATAACGTACGTCAGTGCAGGTTTAACCAATAAACAAATAAAACCAATGTCAAGAGCAGAAGAGCTCGGCTTCAGTATTGGGAGGGGGGCGGATAGTTTTAAGTAAATCTTTAATAATATAGAATATATATGATATTAGTTTTAAATAATAAAAATTAATATCATCTGGCACAAAATGGGATCTCGTACATAATGATTTCTATCATAATGACCGATAATGTATTAAACTTGAATATTTGAATGTGGTAATTGCATTGGGCTTCAGCAAGTGATAAAGTCTGACGAAGACACTTATTTTATACTTAGACAACATTATTGATTTTTCCACCTTTATTATCCATAACCTAAAATTTAGACAGAAGAAAGTATTAGTAAAAATTTTCTGGTATGATTTGGATTATAAAATAAGATATTCAAAATCAGATTCTAATTCATTACAATTTACCACTGACACCGCAATCTCAAGCCGACATGAATACTGTTCCGTTTAGTCCTTTTTAAATTATTAATGATTTTGATTTACCAAAAGATCAAGTTTCGTTATTATTATCAATATTAAAGGAATAGAGTCTCTAATATAATAAATTAATGAAATAAATAAGTAAATAAATAAAAAGAATCTTAAGGTTAGGAGCAGTTAGATGTGATTCTGAAATATTCCTTTCCTAATTGAAAATATAACTTTTTTTTTTATTTACAGTGTAGTGAAGAATTATTACTTGAATTTTCGAAAAACTTTGAACAGCCTCCAACCATTGAATGGACAAAGAATGAAGGCTGTTCATAAATTCCTAGGAAAAAAATTTAAAAGAAGACTGTCCACTAGCGGTCGAACGGTAAAGTTGCTGCAACTGGTAGTTCTGTCCGAGTTTCAAATCAAAGCGAATGGGCTGGCTATATGGGCGTTTTCGTAGTTTTCCCCATGTGTAACATGTACACGAGCCAGTTTTCCTCGGAAAGTCGCTCCACGAAAGCATCCCTCCCTCGAGGCTGATAACATTCCAGTAGTTTGTGATAATTAAATAAACCAAGCCTTAAATGCAGTTTTGTTTTGTAATAGAAATTATTATTATTTAATGCCACTTGCTTATATCAAGCATACTAAAGAATGCCGCTTAACCAGGATAGTGGTTAGTGACTCTGCCAACCGTGCCGAATGGCCCAAGTTCGAATCCCGGAGAAGACATGGATATTTGTAAATGTATAGTTTATGTACGGCATTGGGGCACTCTAAATATGAGGCGAGCCGAAAGCCCTTTCTAGAGGTTGACGGCAGTGGAAGAGGGATGGGAGACCCTCAGATCCGTCCCCCGGTGTGCTCTCCATCAAAACTCCAGGAACTGTATAAGGTACACCGTTAATTTTCATAAACATTACCTTTTTCTCTTATTTATGCGAAAGTGTCCGAATAGTATGAAAGGTATATTTTAATTTTAAAGTCCCTTTCCTAGCAGTTCTTGTTTCCACTCACAACTCCCTACCAGAATGAGTTTTTAGAATCGCATTGAATGCAAATGAGTTAGAAGACGTATTTAAGGAAAGTTCAACTTATGTCGAAAGAGAGAGCTAGGAGTCTTTAGTAGAGCGTTTATGCCTTCCGGCTAAATCTTTCTTGAAGCTGTTATGCTCGGCCGTATTATTACGTGCCTTTTGATATTCGCCTGCTAGTTTAAATTAGAGGGCCAACTACGTTAGATACTTGTGGTCAGCTTCGGCTAAGTCTCCATTGGTTAGTTACAGTTTAGTTCTTGTTTCTTATTCTGAGTTCAAGCCCAAGTGGAGGCTTTGTTGTAAGCCCGAGAAAGGGACCGACTGTTATTCCTATTTTAGTCAAATAAAGGGTATTTTAATCCCTCTTGAGTCTACATCTTTATATATTTGAACCGAGCGATTAGTGGCTACACAGTTCACTAGGGTCCTCAACGTTCATCTTAGACAAAAGGAGTGAGGAACTCTACACGCGTGAATCTAATTTTAGCATGAAAATCCCTTTAGAATGTAATGGGACGTTAAAGTTGTTATGAAACAACCTAAAGGTAAAAAATTACAGACATGTAAAATAGGGAGCTTTTGAAAAACTATAAATCATTGGGATGTAACAAAACACTTAACATGTATAATATAGATTCCAGACATGGCTTTTTTCTCGCCGATATAAAGCCATCTCCGAAGACCTAGTACAGTATTTCCATGCGAATACATGTGCTACAACCGAAAGTTATTACAAAGCTTTGCGTCTCAGTTTTTTTTACCTCTTTTCCCACCTTGTCACCGTGTATCAGAATGCCTCACTCCAGAAAGATTATTATTATTATTTTTGAATTAAAGCTCTGCATTCTTAAAATAGTATGTAAAACTGGAAACACTTTAGTACTTTGGAAAAGACATATAAACTTATACCTTATCATACCACATAAATGTATTAAATTCATACGTTTATACATATATAAATACATATATACACTCGAACACTAAAAATAAGCAACAAACGCTAAACGAAAAGTTGCGAATCTAAAAAGGGGAAATAAGACACACTTTTACGGGTTTTGTATTTATTTAGCTATTTTTAGTAGAATTTGCAATTAAATTGTTTCATTTCCCCGTACAATGCAGCACGAAACTGATTTGAAGAGATAGCTACACCGAAAAAATTAAAATATAGGAGCACGCGCATTTAACATTTAAATAAATAAATATCTCGTACTTGTAC